TGCAGTTGCGGAAATGGCAAAATTAAAGCATCCCATCAGTTGTAAAACCCTTACAAAGCCTCCAAGGGATCAAAAGCCGCCACCATTCACAGGAGGGTTCGTTCCAAACAAACCCATGCAGAACAAAGTATATTCTTTCGATCTGACCAAAGTAGATGCTTTGTTTGATGAAATGTTGCTACAGAAAGCAATAGAGACGCCTCACAGAATGCCCAAACCAGAAGAACTCAAGGGCAGACAGTATTGCAGAAGGCACAATTCTTGGAATTATTCCACCAATAGTTGTGTTGTTTTCAGAGATGTTATACAGGAAGGGATAACAGCAGGAAGGCTGAAGCTAGCAGAAAAGCCTCCATCCGTCACCATAGATCCTTTTCCCCCACAAGTTAATATGGTCAACCTAAATTCGCCAGAACGAAAGAGGGACAGAACAGCTACAGAGGCTGACTCCAGCAGAAGCAGAATAGTTTCAAAGGAGACTATGGAAAGACCAAAAGCAACCATTTCAGCTGGAATAGTGCTCTGCAGCAGGTGCAAGTGTGAGGCTGAGCTGGAGGTAACCCTGGAAAAACAGGATCTGCCCACTCCAAGTGTTTTTGACCGGATTGGAACCACGCCCCAGGATAAGGCCAGACAGAGAAACTACCCTAGGCCTGTCCAATCCAGCAGAAGAATGACTAGGCAACCCAAGGAAGAAAAATCAATAAAGTTGCCCAGAAGTGATAAACCTTTGGCGGCCATCATTGAAGGCAGGTGGTATTCTGTCGGGAAAAGTGGCAGACCAACAATGGAGCTGACAAGAACCCAAAGGAGGAGGGTTCAGAGACAGTACTGCACATTCCTCAATAACGAGAAAAACGCACAGGTGCTTCCAGAGGCCAATTCTGCCCAAAAGGGGAAAGAGCCAGAAATATTTCCCCAGACAGAACAAGCAATCTCTCAACCACAGAAGTTGAAAGAAGCAGAATCCTCAAAGAAACCTTCTATCCATTCTGCCTCCGCCTCAGAAAATCTACTTAAAACTCCCCGACCAGAGGAAAAAACCGATCCTATTCCAGAAGAAGGGCAAGTAGACTGGGTTGAGGAATATGAAGAGGAGCAGCTGGATTATGAACCATCTACAGATGACCAGAATGCGCTCCT